ATCAGTATCATTGGTGGGAAGATTTTGTGGGTGTCCTTATTTGCAATGACTTTGCCCTTGTGGATCCAATAAGGTACTCTCAAACATGTTCTCCTACAGTGTTCCTTTTATGATGCCCCCAAAGGTGATCTGATTACTGCAATCATTTGGCATACAATGGAAACTTTGATAAATTTTATGTTTATTATTTTTAAGGAATGCTAATCTCACACTCACATATCAGGCAGCCAAATATATTCACCAGGTTACACAACTGCATAAACTTTTAAGTAGATCTATCATTTTATTATCTTGATTTTCCCCCCTTCCCCCTTCCCCCCCAATAATGAATAGCTGTGTCAAACTCACTTATTTTTTAATTTTAAAGGCTGGTCAAACACTATCGTAAAGATATTTCATTAATAACTGGTATTAGCATAATAAAGAAAATAGAAAACACCATCAATAAAGTGTGATTCTTTGCTATAGCTTTGGAGATCTGGATTACGTGGTTGGCTTGTAACTGATTGCCTTACCCTATATGCTGTAACAAGATTCCTTTACCTTATACCGTGTAGCAAACTGCTTGACTAAAAATAATAAGGAGAGCATGGGAGAGAAAGAGGCAGGCAAGTTTGCTACAAGCACATAATAAATTTACTGTGCACATCCCTAACGTATTCACAATATAATAAGACATGCCAAATTGTTTTGTCCAACTCCTGAGATGCAAAGTACAGTCCTTTTAGTGGGGTCCTATTATCTACCTTCCAGCAGAGCAGATGGAAAATGTTAAATTGAGCATGCAAGAAAGTAATGTTTAGGCAGTTCCAAAGTAAAGAGACATTTGGCCGATTGTGGACTTTGTTTCAGATTTAAATTCCAGTGTTTACAACTGTAAGAAACTAATTCAACTAATTTTGTGATTCCAGTCCAAGACTTGTTGTTTAAGAAATGCCCTGACTTGATCATATGATTCTATTTTTAATAGAAGTAGTATATGTCATACAATACCAACAGATATCAAAACAATTACCAAGTAATGAAATGTTAAAATCACTTTCTATTCTTCAGTGGCTGATCATTCTAGGATGTCTCTTTTAGATCATACTGGAGTATATTCAAATTTGGCACAATGTGAGTCAATGCACCAATTCCCCATTGGCTGGAAGAATGAAATGCAGGCATATTTGGACAATACAGAAACACACATATACCGTACTTCCTAGTTCTAGCAATCCCTATCAGACAGTCTAGTTCCCAGGTTTGCTACAGAGGTTTAATTTGCTAGACTCCCTCAATCTGCAACACACTGCTAGAGGAAGCTGCTACACTATTCCCACTATTTTTTCAAGCTGACAAATCATCTATTTACATGTTGGTTCCTCTGTTACAGGCATTTATAACTGCAAATTTCACAACTGGATACTGTTTCTCCTTCCATATTTTATTCTTCACAGGGATGTGTGATGTGCACAGGAAATATCTAAATCTCATTTAATTCATCTACTCAGTGGGGATTTGGATCAATCTCTGCCATCTTCGTCTTCCATCTAGAATTTTGGAAGATGGGTTTATTCTATCTTTGCAAGACACTTTTATCTATTAATATATATTACCATACAATAGATAAGTTGTCAAAATTGATTACATTATTAGCTGTGGCAAATAAAAACATTCATTTATCCTTTGGTCAGAATAAAATTGCTAGTATATATCATTAAGTACTAAATGTAACTTGCACAGAAAATGCTTTGCTGAGGACTTCAAAAACTTTAAAAATAAGGTATGGAATTGAATGTGTTCATGTGTAATATATGATATTTTACAAGGCCACAAATTCCAAAGGATAGAGAAAGATTATCACAGAAATATAGAAGCAGTATTATATTCTGTACGAATCACAATTGTTCCTTAAACTTCAAAGCAGAATCTGATTGGTTTTCTATCTGTAACTGATACATTCAGACAAAAATAATAAAGCAACCTGACTAATATTTAAAACAGCTTGGAGACAATTAAAAACAGATTTCATTTATAAGGCACTTCCATCAGGTATCAAATGGTGTTTAGAGAGCAACATTTAAATTGTTTGCTTCCAGTTTATCTTAAAAATATGCATCCCAGAAGTATTAACAATGTTCTTTAAAATCATACTTTCATGAAATGTTTTGTTTAGAAACATTTAGCTGAAAAAGAAAATGAATGGTATGTTGTAAACAGAATTGGAATTGCCCACACACAAAAAATGAAAAGGCAGCTAACATTTGTTAACTCAGAAAAATCCTTTCCCTCTCATCCCTCTTGAGCTTCAGCAAATACTAATTTAAAATGAGTCTTGTGTAACTCAAAATTTGACTTTCCTTAGGGCAAACACTACAAATTACCTCAATTCTAATTTACCTACCTTGAAACATTGACAATAGCATTGGAAATACTATCTTTACTCAGATGGAGATCTGGCAATAAATTTAATGATGTTTGACTTCAGATAAATGTAAGTTGACATATAAGTTAAAAATTATAAAGGAGTTTATGAACAATTTAGATTGAATCATGTAGCCCCTTTAGAATTGCATAAATGAAAATTCTATAAGACTTATTAATCATTCCTTCTAAAATTATTGATTTTCTGGAAGGCAAATTAAAATGTATATATTCCTCATTACCTATACTTTCCAGACCTCATATAAATTGCTAAATATTTTGAACGAGGTTGCTTGCCACTAAAAGGTACAAATCATCAAAAGCATATAATGTGGGATTTAAATCAGGCTGTAGGTTATTATTGCTAAATAACTAAATTATTCAAAATTTATGCACCATGGTAAACCAGGACAGATACAACCTAGTCTTTTAATAAAGTGGCTATAAAGAAATATTGTATTTCTGGGACAACTTTTGAGGCAAAGATAAAGGATCTATATAGCATGCTATATAGGATCTATATAGTTGAATGTGATCACCAATCTTTATTTTTAGCAGTAGAAAACTAGGGTGTTTTTTTTTCTGCAGAAAATAAAAGTCGACCCACATGTTCCTATTAATTTGTCTGATAAGAATTTTTATGAAATAGAGTTGAGACATTTTTATGTGTATTTTAGAAACAGCAATCTATCCATTCATGCAATAGCTACAGACAAAGATCCACACGGCATTAAGTAACTGATGGTTTTATATATGGTTTTTTACAACAAACAGCTATAGGTCTGGATGACCTATAATTTAAAGCCATGTATGATTTGCAAACCTCAGAAGCTTGATTCATAATAAAGAAAATATAAACAAACCACTTAATACAATAGGTGATTAAATGCTTAAATTAAAAACTCAAGGAGAGAACCAACATAAAACTAAGGAGAAATTTCCAGACAGACTAATTAATCAGTGGAATGACTTGCCTCGAGAAATTGTGAGTACTCCAATGTTGGAGGTTTTTAAGAAGAGATTGGACAAAACATTTGTCTGAAATGGTATAGGTCTCCTGCTTGAGCAGGGGGTTGGACTAGAAGACCTTCAAGGTCCCTTTTAACTCTTGTTATTCTGTTATCAATAAAACTATGCAATCCAAATTCATGTAATTTCTAATATTGTTTTATCAATATTACCATAAAACATTTGGCTACTGCACAGACAACTGAATAATATTATATATTTTTAAATGTATAATGCGAATACCCTTTTTGGTAAGCAGGAATTAAGTCCATTGCTATCTGACAATAAAAAGAGATAAGAACAAGAAAAGAGATTGCTGATATTGCGAAACCTGAAATTATGCAACACATTGCTTTTGTAAATAGTGAGCCACAGAAAGTATTTAGAGTTTGTTCTCTCAGTATCTAAGTCCCTTTATTGAAAGACTAACATCTAGGGAGGGAGGGAGGGAGAGAGAGAGAGAGAGAGAGAGAGAGAGAATATGAATGAAAAAAATAAGACAATAAGGTACCGTATTTTTCGGAGTATAAGATGTACCGGAGTATAAGACGCACCAAGATTTTGAAGAGGCAAATTAAAAAAAAACGTTTTGCACTCTGCAGACCTCCAAAAAACAGCCCGTTTTTTGTGAAAACAGGCCCTTTAAAAAAAAAAAAAGAGCATGAATAGCCTTTAGGAGGCTTGTAGAGTGCCCCTCCCCCCCAACAAACGAGCAAAAAATTGCCCATTTTTTGCAAAAACAGGCCTGTTGTTTTGCTCATTTCTACCCTCCCCAGCCCCCAGGAGCACTCTGGAAGCCTCCTAAAGGTTTGCACGGCCATTTTGGTGAAGGGAGTGAGGTTTCAGGAGGCAAAAAATGCTGTATTCAGTGTGTAAGACACACCCAGATTTTCAGTCTCTTTTTTGAGGGAAAAGGTGCATCTTATAGTCCGAAAAATACGGTAATAATGCCAGCATGTTAGTTTAGGAATAACATCAGCAGCAATCTCTGAATAGTAAACTTGGATGATAATATATCCAGCCTTAAAAAATCTCAGCTTTTAAACAATTAGGTCAGCGTCACCATTTATGCTTTATTACTACAATCTTCTCACTAAAACATAATTTTATAACCTTACACATTGTGTAGACTATTCCAACATCAGTCTCTGGGATTTTCACATAGATTCACTAAAACACCATTGTCTGAAATCCTGGAAGCTACTTTCATTTTGTGTAGAAAGTAGGTTTACTAAATCTACTAAGCTAAATCTTGATTCCATGTCTAGGTCCTAATTGTATATTTCACAATATGAATGGATCTGAATGAGCAAATAATGTGGCCAACAAAAGCAGAAAAGATTCAAAATGGACAGTACTTCAAATAAGAAATATTTGAAGTAGCACTATGTTGCATTGTTTTGAGCAAGCCAAAGGATTTAAACCAACTTTAATGCTTGTTTCAAAAAAGATTCTATAGTATTTGTGCACAACTTCAGTAAAAACCAAGAGTTTTGATTCTGCTTGAAAATAAATTAATGATAGCTTCTTTTTCAACTTCCTTTTTAGTTTTCTTCAGTATTACAAATCCACATTCTTTTACTTACCTTAAATTCTGAAGATCTGATTTTAAAAACGGTGCCATGTTCTGGGAAAGATTACTTCCATGAGGATGACATCCGAAACCATCTTCAACAACCAAATAATAGATTCTCTGAATAACTACTTGGACTTGGATTGCAGTGCTTTCAGTTGTCCCTTGCATTTCCACAGCATCAAGAAGAGAATCATTCAAGGAAATAACCGATACCTTAGATTCAATATTGAAACAACTCTCTGTATTTTTAGAAGTCTTCATATTGGAACAGGAAATCTATTTTTAAAAAATCCTCAAATTACTGCACAAATTATTGGGAAATTAATTATCACATTTTTTTAGAAGTCCAAAGGCCAAACTATCCAGGTTAGTTTTTCCTGGTTTACAAAAATTGCTGAAACAGTTTCTACCAACAATGATGAATATGGCAGCAATAGCCTCAAAATGCAGGGCTATAAAACTGGGGTCATACTCATTTATTCAGAAGTGAAAGACGTGCAAAGTTTCCCTCTTGCTGCCTTTAACTGTGTTTTTCAGAATGTATTCCAGAACTAGTTGGATATCATCTTTATACCAAATCAATTTGTGTTCTGGAGAATACTGAACAAAAATTAGGCTACATCCATTTCTAAAAATAGAGAAGTTAGCTTCAATATAAAAGTAGTATCAGGCCTAAGCACATTTTTTTATGAAATACCGCTATATATTTATAAACTATGTTCTAAAAAAACTGAAATATCAAAGAACAATCATTAAACAGACAACAGAACATTATTTTATTGGGAAAAAAAAAAAACTTTAACAGGAAGGTTTAAGAGGAAGTCCAATGAAGGCCAAAGCACTTGGTTCAAGCTTAGCATAAGAGAAATATGAAATTAATGAAAGATGATTAAGATAATAGTGATTTATTAAAATGATTTAAGATTATTTAAAGCAGAGTAAAACCTAACCCATGAGTAGGCCTTCAGCCAAATTCCATCTTCCTTAATATTTCCTCCATTTAGATTCCATTCCCTCTGTGCCATGGGCACTTTTACATATACCCAAGTCAGTGGGCTTCAAAACCTACAAGAGCCAGCACAACCACACAGGTCCCTCAGCAACACATACACAAGGATTCAAAAGCTAGTACTCTACTTTTTCCCACTTCTACTACACCTCGTCCTACTGCTCATTCAATTATTACTCCTTATATGATCTTTGAAGAATTGAGGCCTTTGAACTATGGTGCTGGAGAAGACTCCTTCGAGTCCCTTGGATTGCAAGGCGATCAAACCGGTCAGTCCTAGAGGAGATCAACCCTGACTGCTCCTTAGAAGGCCAGATCCTGAAGATGAGACTCAAATACTTTGGCCACCTAATGAGAAGGAAGGACTCACTGGAGAAGAGTCTAATGCTGGGAAAGATTGAGGTCAAAAGAAGAAGGGTACGGCAGAGAATGAGGTGGCTGGGAGTCACTGAAGCATTTGGCGTGAGATTAAATGGACTCCGGGGGATGGCAGAGGACAGGAAGGCCTGGAGGAATGTTGTTCATGGGGCCGCAATAGATCGCAAATAACAACAACAACAATGTATGAGTTCTACTGCTAGAGAACAGTATCTCTTTCTATCTGCACTTTGGGCTTCTTCAGGTTACTTTACAAAAACTAACAAATACCAGGACCCCTAACTACCTCTCTGCTCTGCTTTTACAACCAACAATTGCTGTGCATGCTAGTGACAGGACTTAAAGGGACAGGACAACAGTAATACAGGTGCTGGCCATTTTGTAGGCAGTCTGTCCTCTCAAAAAGGACAGTCTTTTTCGTTTTAAAAGAAGAAGTTTTTCTACACAGAAAAACCCTACTCTATTCAGGAGAAGTAGGAAAAGATAGCTCCCTATCCCTTCCAGATGCAGGGAATCTTTATGCAGGAAAAGACATGGAATCAGTAGCTTCTATGTCCTTCAGCAGAAATCAAGAGATTCTTTCAGTGATATGATGGTTTGTTTCTAAGTTCTCCCAAATAGGCAGGGTTTTAAGAAAGAGACAGGTTTGTTATCCAGGTCTCTTTGAGTCACACAAGGATCTGCCAGTACTATTTTAGACTAATTATCTTCTGTAGTAAATTATTCTGGCTACTTATTATCCCAACACATTTTCTATCTAGGAGAAAGAGAAAGAAGTCTGCAAGAGAAAAAAAAAAGATTGCAAACACAGCTCTAAACCGCTCTGTAAAAATTGTTTTTGTTTTTAAAAATGTGAAATGTTTGAGAAAGCAGGGAATTCCTTCAAATGAAGAGATCAATAAATATTTATTTAAATCAGGGGGAAGTGCTAATTCCTGGTAAAGAAACTATACTTCGAGAAAAAGGAGCTTTATAAACACATCCATGTTGAAAATTATATATTTAAAGTTTCCCAATTTACTTTGTATCTTTCTCCTACAAAATGCATTTGTATTTATATTTAATTTCTCCAAACTGATTACCAGTAATAAACAAAATATACAGTAAGATTTCTTTAAAATATATCAGAAAATAATACAATTTCAGGGAAGAGTAACAAAAGAAAACTTTTTCCAGATCACATGCATTTTTATTGCAACTTACAATGAATATAAAAACTCCTCACACACCTATTAAAATCCTAAGTTTTTGTGATGTAAAAAAATCTGATCAAGACAAATCATTTCATATTTTTTCCCATTTTTAATATAACACATAAACTAATTCAATTGAAAAACTGAAATATTTTAGGGGGGAAATAACAATAAAAACTTATAACAATGTGGTTGTATAAGTGTCCACATCCTTAAACTAATATTTGTTGAAGCACCTTCTGATTTTATGACAGCGTTTAGTCTTTTGGGATAACAGCCTATCAGCATAGCACATCTTGTCCTGGGGATCTTTGCCCACTCTTCCTTGAAAAAGTGCTCTATATTTTCAATTGGATTCAGGCCCAGACTCTGGCTGTGCCACTGCAAAACTTTGATCTTCTTCTGGGGAATCCATTCTTTTGTTTATTTGGCTTACGGTCATTGTCTTACTGAAAGATGAACTTCCTATTCATCTTCAGTATTTTAGCAGAGACCTGAATATTTTGCACCAAAACTGATTGCTGTTTGGAGCTGTTCATAATTCCCTCCATCTTGACTTAAGTCTCAGTTCCAGCTGAAGAAAAACAGCCCCAAAGAATAATGCTGCCACCACCAAGCTTCACTGTGAGTACAGTGTACTTTTGGTGATGTGCAATTATTTTCATGGCAAACATACCTTTTGGAATTGTGGCCCAAAACTTCAACTTAATATCATAAGACCATCACACATTTCCCCTCATGCTTTTGTTGGATTTGATGTAGATTTTTGCAAACTCTAAACACACTTGGATTGGTCTTGCCACCCTATTCCACAGGCCAGACATATGAAGACTATGGAAATTGTTGTCACATGTAGTACACAACCAGTACTTGCCAAATATTCCTGCAGCTCCTCTAATGTTACTATAGCCTCTTGACAGCTTTTCAAGCCAGTTTTCTTCTTCTTTTTAAATGAGATTTGAGGGATATCCAATTCTTGGTAATGTCACTATTGTGTCATATTTTCTCCACTTGTTAATGATTGTCCTCATTGTGTTCCAGAGTATATCCAATGCCTTGGAAATTTTTTATACTCTTCTCCTGACTGGTATCTTCCAACAAGGAGATCCGTTTGACACTTTGTAAGCTCTTTGTAGACCTGTCTACAAAGAGACAGGTCTTTTGCTGTCAGAGGCAAATGAATATAGGTAGGTAGTCCTCCACTTATAATAACTGAGTCCCAAATTTTTGTTAAGTGAGACATTTATTAAGTAAATTTTGCCGCATTTTACAACCTTTCTTGCCACATTTGTCAAGTGAATCACTGTGATTGATAAGTTACCATATTTTTCGGAGTATAAGGCGCACCTTTTTTCCTCAAAAAAGAGGCTGAAAATCTGGGTGCGTCTTATATATCGAATACCGCATTTTTTTGCCTCCCGAAGCCCCGCCCCTTCACAAAAATGGCCGTGCATACCCTTATGGAGGCTTTCAGAGAGCTCCTGGGGGCTGGAAGGGCAGAAATAAGCAAAAATGGGCCGTTTTTGCCCCCCCGAGCCCTCAGCAGCACTCTATAAGCCTCCATAAGGCTATGCATGCAATTTTTTTTAAGAAAAATGTGCCGTTTTCATGAAAAATGGGCCATTTTTTGCTCATCCCCCCGCCGGAGCACTCTGCAAGTTCCCCCAAGGCTATTCATGCCTTTCATTTGAAAAAAAACAGGCTCGTTTTTTTAAAAAAACAGGCCGTTTTTGGGAGGTTTGCAGAGTGCAAAAACTTTTTTTTTCCTTTCGGAAAGCTCTTTAGTTAGAGTGATTGATGAGAATTACATTGATCAAGTGCTGTGCCAGCAGAAACAAGTCTTAGGTGCTGCAGGTTGTCAGTGATTTCCTTCTCCAGCACATGGATAAATACACCTGGAAACATCTACCTACCTACCTACTCTCTCTCTCTCCCTATCTACCTACTGTCTTTCTCTCTCTCTCCCTCTACCTAATATCTACCTACTCTCTCCCTCCCTCCCTCCCTCCCTCCCGTATTTCTCTCTCTTTCTCTCTCTCTCTATACCTACCTACCTACCTACTCTTTCTCTCTCCCTACCTACCAACTATATTTCTCTCTCGCTCTATCCTTCTACCTACCTATCTACCTACTCTCTCTCTCCCTACCTACTGTATTTCTCTCTCTCTATCCCTCTACTTATCTATCTACCTACTCTCTCTCTCCCTACCTACCTACTGTATTTCTCTCTCTCTCTATCCCTCTATACCTATCAACTCTCTCTCTCTTCCTACCTACCTATTGTATTTCTCTCTCTCCCTCCCTCTCGCTCTCCCTCTATCTACCTACCTACTTTTTTTAAAAATTTACCTCTTCAAAACCTTGGTGCGTCTTATACTCTGGTACGTCTTATATTCCGGAAAATAATAGTAACCTGGTTGTTAAGTGAATTGGCTTCCCCATTGACTTTGCTTGTCAGGAGGTCGCAAAAAGTGCTCACATGATCCCGGGACATTGCAACCTTCAAAAAATACCCGCTGGTTGCCAAGTGTCTGAATTTTGATCATGTGACCATGGGAATGCTGCAATGGTCATCAGTGTGAAAAATGACAAAAGTTACTTTTTTGGTGCCATTGTAACTTTGAATAGCCACTAAACAAATTGTTGTAAGTCAAGGACTACCTGTATATATATTAAAAAATCCTACTAGATTAGATGAACTTTATATGGGCTTGATCAGAGTCACCTTAACTGATGGCAGGTATGTACTGACTACTATCTAACATTAGTTTGAATGTGACTGATTAATTCTGAACATAGAGACATTGCTACTAATAAAAAGGTGTGCATACTTATGCAACCACATTATTATTTTTTATCGTTATTCTTGCCCCCAAAAGATTTCAGTTTGTTTTTCAAACAGTTTTTCACTGTCTGTAAAGTGCTCGCCTAGAAACTGGGGAGACTGTGTTTACTCCCACCTTAGGAATGAAAACCAACTGGGTAATTGTAGGTCAGTCACTGTGAGGCAAACCCACCTCACAGGGTTGTAGTTGTGAAAACAGGAGGAAGGAGTATTAGGTATTTTTCCCACCTTGAGTTACTAATAAAGTAATAAAGATGGGATAAAAAATTAACAAATAAATAAAATACATAAAGTCACAAATGGCAACCACATGAGCACAAGCAAGTGAATGGCCAGAACTATGATAACCAGTCACAAGTACAATTTTTTCAGCCTCCCCCCGCCCCCCTGAGTTTGAACAGTTGCTGAACAAGTGATCATTAAATGAAGACCACTTTTACTAGCGGCTGAGGGAGAAAAATGCTTGTAAAAATTATACAAAACGTGTTCCCTATCAAACATTCAAATTTGCTCAAATTGAAACATATGCAAATTCTTGTGTTCATTATTTTCAAAGATTTATTCATCAATTTATTATAAAGCATTAAATCACAAAATAAACATTACCTGATTCACTGCAGTTGTTAAAGAGCAATTGTCTTTTATATCAGATAAATTAAATATCCAGGCTAAAGATACATTCCTTTTAGTAAGCATTGGCTCTTGCAAAAGGGGCTTGTCCATTTCAGTAGATATATCTGTTGATTCTTTAAGAGTGACCTTTTGACTGAAATATGTATTCAGGATAACCGGAATATTTTCATTCTGCAGAAAGAGTTTTTGCCTGAAACAATGGATACATTTTGTTAGCTTTCAAATTATTTTGAATGATGATCTACTTCATTTTTCTGTATCAATTGCTTTCCTGCACTTAAACACAATGAATGAAAATTATTTATTTGTTTTAACAATATGAAGGTATTAAAATAATTTATTTTAATTTAATTAATTAGTCTAAACACAATTAATAATGAACTCAGTTTTAGCTATCCAAAGACATAAAATATTAATCAAACACCAGGTAAAAGATAACTGCACTTCAACATATTTCAAATTTGTATCCTAAGATTTCTTTGCTTCCTTAAAAAAGCACTGAAAATCATAAACGTAACACAAATGCTAAGAGTTATAACAGAGGTTTTATTGATACTTTAATTTAAATACATGGAATGCAATATCGTAAAAAGAATGTGCACAAATAATTTTAATGAAATGTGATTATACAACATTTCTGAATAAACCTGAAATGTTGAAGCCAATTATAAGCAACTTGAGTTATGAAAATTAGAATAGTGGTTACTGTATTCTAAATAGCACAAGACAAATTTTTCCTATGTTTAATATTCTATATTCAAACATTTTTATAGGGCAATAGTAGCAAAGAAAGCAAATTAAAATTATGTTTAATTGTATTTAGGTCCTCCGCTTATACTTGACCAGGATTTTTAATCTTATTTTACAAGTAAAAGAAAGGACACACAGTGTGTGTGTGTGTGTGTGTGTGTGTCCTCTGCCTCTATTCAAAGCCCCAGCTCAACAGCTGCATAAACAAATAAAGAGAGAACCATTTGGGATGGTAAAAACAACAAAATGACAATGTACAGGGCGGGGCATAACCTTTTCCTAGGGGGTCACAGCAACACTTGTAATAACAACACAAATAATTCATACACCATTCGAAAGCCCATCAAAAACTGAGTTTATTTACACGATTTAATAGTCAGTATGACCACCATTAGCCCTTCGAACAGCATTCAAACGAGGTGGATAACACAACAAATCTTCAAACAGTTCCGTTCGATTTTCCAGATTTTCCAGAGGGCGGGGCATAACCTTTTCCTAGGGGGTCACAGAAAGATCGACAGCAGTTTACAACTTCCGCGACACCTCATTTTAAAGCCCATAAAAAACTGAATTGAATGAGCTATTAAATGTTAAATTTGTTTCGGTTGAAACTTTGAGAATGAATTTGGAAACTGTGTTGAAAAATCTGGAAAATCGAACGGAACTGTTTGAAGATTTGTTGTGTTCTTATCCACCTCGTTTGAATGCTGTTCGAAGGGCTAATGGTGGTCATACTGACTATTAAATCGTGTCAATAAACTCAGTTTTTGATGGGCTTTCGAATGGTGTATGAATTATTTGTGTTGTTATTACAAGTGTTGCTGTGACCCCCTAGGAAAAGGTTATGCCCCGCCCTGTACAATATATAGCAAAGTAAGTGTGTAAAACCTTAAAATCAGCATTATGTACAGTTTAAGTGAGTCCATTTTATTACTCATATACAGCCATTAGTGAAAGTTAAATAAAAATTGATGAGACACAAAACATTTTGGTATCTCTTATCAGAGAATCATGGGTTTTTGCTACTGTTGGAGAGTTGCATATTTTCAAACTGGCAGATGGAGAGGCCACTGCCTCTTCTCCCAAAAGTACAATACTGAGAAATGGAAACAAGTAAGGCGCATGAATAGATTCTATCATTATGTTATCAACTTACAACAGTTGGTTTAGTGACCACTCAAAGTTACAACAGCATGGAAAAATATGACTTATGACAGTTTTCAGTTACGACCTTTGCATCAACTCCATGATCATATGATGAAAATTCAGATGCTTGGCAACTGGTTCATATTTATGACTGTTGCTGTGTCCCAAAGTCACATGATCACCTTTTTGTGACCTTATGACAAATAAAGTCAATGGGAGAGCCAGATTCACTTAACAACTGGGTTACTAACATTAACTCCAGTGATTCTCTTAACAATTGTAGCATCAAAAGTTATAAAATGGGGCAAAACTCACTTAACAAATGTCTCACTTAACTACAGAAATTTTGGGCTCAATTGTAGTTGTAAGTCGAGGACTATCTGTTTTCTTACAATTACATTTATTATTATATACCAAGGCACTGTCCAGGATTCTTTAGAACATAAAAACATGTCAGTTTTAAGAAATAAGTACCAGTTGCTGTGTATGATAGGATCATTTTTTAAAAAGATTTATTTTTTTAAAAAGGTTTTTAAAAAAGGTTTTTAAAATCCAGCCTATACCTTTATATCTATTTTTCACAAGATCAGTTAAAATGGATTAATTTACTATTTAATCTACCATTTTCTTAAATTATGTGGGTTACACTCCATATCCTAAAATTAGAGCGTAGCGGGCAGAAGGCATTTATCATCCAAATATATGTAGGCCTCTAGTTTTTTTTACAGTAACAACATTGATTTTCCTAGAAAATAATTTCCCTCAAAACAATAAGAGCTGTCTGCATATTTTGGTGTTTTCCTGAATTTAAAGTGCCTTGACTGATGTAATAGAGTAACAGTATAACAGAGTTGGAAGGGACCTTAGAGGTCTTCTAGTCCAACCCCCTGCTCAAGCAGGAAACCCTATAATCTTTCAAACAAATTGCTGTCCAATTTCTTCTTAAAAACCTCCAATGATGGAATACTGACAACTTCTGAAGGCAAGTCGTTCCACTGATTAATTGTTCTGTCAGGAAATTTCTCCTTAGTTCTAGGTTGGTTCTCTCCTTAATTAGTTTTCATCCATTGCTTCTTGTTCTGCCTTCAGATGCTTTGACCTCCTGCTTCTTTGTGGCAGCCCCTCAAATATGGAAGACTGATATCATGTAACCCCTTCTTTTCATTAAACTAGACATATCCAATTTCTGTAACCGTTGTTCCAGTGGTGGGATTCAGCCAGTTCGCACCTATCCAGGAGAACTGATTGTTAACTTTCTAAGCAGTTTGGAGAAGCTCTTGGAAGAAATCTCCTTTTGTTTTTTTCCCCCACTTTACAGGGCTAATCCTGTAAGGAAGGCAGGAAGGAAACATTCTGGTATTGTTTCTAGCCTAATCTTTATTGCCCTCCTTACAGAAACTTTCTCTCCTGTTAACCCTTTATTACATTGTAACAGCTAAGGAAAAGCGCCCATCAACATGAGTGATGTTGAGTTGGCCACATCTACCCAGTCACATGACCACCGAGCCACGCCTACCCAGCTGGTCATTAGGGCAGAGAACCAGTTGTTAAAGTATTTGAATCCCACCACTTCGTTGTTCATATATATATAAGGATATTTTTTATGATTCTGTGATTTATCTAATTATATAAAACAATATAGAATAACATACCTGTAAATTTTAAAAAGCTAATAAAATAAAACAATTGTGATTTGGGGAGAGATTTTGAATAAAATATTCATTTAAATGGATTCAGAAAGACTAACAATTAAACTGAAGTTATTCTGAAATCTTGGTGAATTCCATAATATAAAAAGTAAAGAGGAAACTCTGTAACTGTCCTTACATAACCCCACAGCCTTGAATAATGCCCCTTTTATTCAAAGCATCATGATCACTGCCTGCTTCATAGCACGAAAAGTTTATAATGAATTGTAATATTGAAAAGTTGAAATTTCTGTTCAATTTTATAAAACTGAATGTATATTTCAGATAATTCAACAATATTTATTTTAAAAAGGAACTCAAGAAAAGAGATGATACTTCCCAACTATATGTTGCTGTCAAGTCTTTTACAAAGGCAACATTTCATGACCAACTTTAATTACTACACTACAAAATTATTAGCAGCTCAAAATAAAAATATGATATGATATATATGACATAATATAATAAGATAATAAAAATGTTGGAAAGTTTAATCTTTCAGAGATTTATGATTTATGTATAAGTCATGTTATTCAGGAAATGTGGCTAAATATAGCATAATTACCCCCTCTCATTCCCCCCCCCCATTCTGAATGGTTCTGAAGGTAGAACGCTCTATGTACAGATAGTCCTTGGGTTGTGAGAGAAATTGGGACTATATAATTGGTAGCAAATGTCAAAACCATCTGAATCATCAATTTAACCCTCCTATAGACTCTGTGACATATTCCACAATCCGTGTTCTCTGGCATAACCAAATCTTCAAAGTTGTATGAGAGGCCACCAGAGTTGGAACGAACTCTAATATCCACTGTGTCAGATGTTTGACAACCACTATTTGAATTACTGATGTTCATATAAGTATTCACAAATATCTGCCCAGTAGCAATTTGTTATAGCGGCACACAAAAATGGATGAAACACACAATCCAGTAGAAATCATACTGCTTTTGCAAAGAAAATGTAAACTATCTTTGTATATATTGTTATCTAACAATTATTTTCTTCTACTTTTCCAATTTTTCTAGGATCTGCTGATAGAGAATTTATCTTAGCTTGAAGTGAACTATTCCCGCCATATTAGGAGCCAGATTTGGCGAAGAGGTATGATCTACAATTTGAAAAATTGTACATGCTGACACTAATTTTGTGACTGTGTTGTTATCTTGTTGAGTTTTGGAGTTTTATGTATGTTTTTAATACAAGATTTAATTTAGCACGTCAAACAGACTAACCTGGAAACTGAAAAGTGGCACTTTAAAAAATGATTTAAAACATTTTGACATTCTCAATAGGTTTAGGAAGAACAGCTGAAAGCTTAAAGGAACATCGTATGGTGAACTAAGAGCCATATACTTGCATGAAATGTAAATGAACTGATTCATCTTTGGGGGATTTCCCTCTCTCTTACCTAATCTCTTCCAGGATACCGTGCTCACAAGGAATTCTTCTCATTTAGCCAGTTACAATACTCTGAAGAAGGCAAGTGGCCAAATAGCAAACACAATGAGTACATGAGTATTTAAGAAAATTCACAAAAAAAGCATTCAATTTCATGTGAGGAATACTTT